CCAGGGGCGGCGCCGAAGGCGCCGCCAGGGGAGCCCAGCGTAGATCCCAAAAATCCGCGAGGAGCTCCGAAAGTTTATGTTTACAGCGTTCCTTCTTCTGCGAGAACTTTGAGGCGGTTTTGCAATAGAGCCTCTGGCGGGCGTTGCCGTGGCCACGGCCAGATCCGCCTCGAGATCCTGGCCAGAGCGCGCCCCTCCCAGACAGCTCCTCAGGCCCGGGGGGCGTCGTCGCGATGGCGGCCTCTGAGGAAGCCCTCAGGAGGATAGAGAACCAAAAAATCCACCCTCGTAATAATCACCCCGACAGGCGAAGCCGTTTGGTAAACCCACCCAGAGGAGAAATCGAACAGGGCAGGGCTGTTTAGTAAACGCCCAGGGCCGTTCAGCAAACGCCGCGCATCGGGTCCGGGCGGGTCTTCCTCCCTCGAGAGGAGGGCGAGGTGCTGGCCCGCGAGGCGGGTTGGCAGCGCCCCGACGGGCGTGGGCGGCTCTGCGCGTTCCGCGCGCGGGCGCTCGGCGGGCGGCGGACGAAGCCGCTCGCCAGCTTCGGCAACGCCGGAAACGCCACCGGTCCTTGGCGCCCTCGGTGCCGCCGTCGCCGCCACTGCCCCGGTCGTCGGCGCCCTCAGGCGGAGACCCCAGAGCCCCGATCGTTTCACAGTCTCCCCTTCGGAGGGCGCCGACGTTGCCCTGTGGCAGAGCCTTCCAACACGAAAAATGAAGGTGTCCATTCCGCCTCCAGCGGCCGCCCTTTCACCCCTGGGGGCTTTCAATACCTCTGGCGATACCTTGTTGGTGTTTACTCTGTGCGTTCTTCCTCGACCTTGGCCTCTTCTGGGGTGCGTCATCGAGACCCAGGACGATCAAACAAGGATTCTGGACACAATACTACCCCCAGGGAAGAGTCAGAAGCTGTTAGGCTGTGGATTGAACAAGCGATGTCGGAGGGTGTCTGGGCCCTAGGGTTAATCACACGCAGGAGAGACCCTGGACAAGAGTGACCTTTGGTGCGAGCTTTGCCTGCTATTGCCCGCCATTCTCGCAAACGCGCCCTGGCACATTCCTGGGAATCGACGATGATTAGCGTGTCTGTGTGTATGTATGTATGTATGTCGGCGGTGCCCCATGGCACGAACCACCCCCAACACTACCGGGGGGTTTCGTGCAGGCCGCACCGGGTGCCGCCGACGGCTCAGAACCCTCCCCCTGTCCCTTGAAAGGGGTCGTTCGTGCAGGCCGCTCTGGGGGAGGCTTAGGTCTGGACCACCCCCCCTGTGGGATGGGGAAGTGGGAGTGGGGGGTGGGGGTGGGGCGGGGGTGCGGGTGGGGTGGAGGCGTTCTCTGTGGAGGTGTGGCGTCTTGGAACACCCTTGGGGTCCAGTCGAGCTAGTCGTGCATACCAAGGGGGTTCCTGCATACCGGGGGGGTTCGTGCTTACCGGGAGGTTTCGTGCCGGCTACTGGGGGGGTCCGTGCTTACCTGGGGGGTTCGTGCCGGCTCGCACCGGCGGTGCCGCCAGCTCGGACCCCCCCAGGATGGAGTTTACTGAGGGGGGGTTCACTCCGCACCGGGCACTGCCGACATGTATGTATGTGTGCATGCATGCATGCATGCATGCATGCAGGCAAGCATGCAGGCAGACAGGGAGGCAGGCAGACAGGGATGGATGGATGTATGGATGGATGTATGCTAGTATGGATGTATGCATGCACGTAAGTATACACACACATACATATATGTATATATATACATAATGTATATATGTATATCGATATATACATATATATATATATATATCTACATATATATATGTGTAGATGTGTGAATGTATGTGTGCATATATGTATGTATGTATGCATGTATGTATGTATGTATGTATGTATGTATGTATGTATGTATACATATATATGTATGTTTGTATGTTTATATGTATGTATGTATGGATGGATGGATGGATGGATTTATGGATGGATGGATGGATAGATGGATGGATGGATGGATGGATGTGTATATATATGTGTGCATGCATGCATGCATGTATGTATGGGTTCATGTGTAACTGAATGTAGGTATGTCTGCATGCATGCATGCATGCATATATGTATGCATATATGGCTGTATATGGATGTATGCATGCATACATGCATACATAAATGCATGCGCGTATGCATGTGTGTATGCGTGTAGGTAGTTATGTATGGATACACGTATGCATGTATGCATGTATATCTGCATGTACGTTTGTATGGTTAGGTGTGTATGTACATATGTATGGGTGCATGCAGGCATGCATGTATGCACGTGAGCATGTAAACATGTATGCGTGTGTGCATGTACCCATGTGTATGGATAGAGATGTGTATGACATTACATATATATATAATATGTCCATGTACATATACATACATGTATATAGGTATGTATGTCTGAATGTATGTAAGTGTGTGTATGTGCATACATGCATGCATGTATGTATGACTACATATGGACGCATATCTATATATGTATATATCTATGTATGCAATGCATTCCATATGTCAGCCTGTCTGTCTGTCTGTCTGGCTGGCTGTCTGGCTGCCTGTCTCTGTATGTCTGCCTGCCTGTCTGTCAGTCTGTATGTATGTATGTGTGTATTGATGTTTGCAGGTATGTATGTATGCATGTATATATATATATATATATGTATTCCATATTATCTCTATCTGTCTGCCTGGCTGGCTGGCTATCTGGCTGTCTGTCTGCCTGTCAATATGTCTGTCTGTCTGTCTGTCTGGCTGTCAGTCTGTCTGTCTGTCAATGTCTGTCTATCTGTCTGTCTGTGCGTATGTATGGATTGATGCATGTATGTATTTATGCCATATATATGTATAGATGTCTGTCTGTCTATCTGTCTGGCTGGCTGTCTGTCTGTCTGTCTGTCACTCTGTCTGTCACTCTGTCTGTCGGTCTGTCTGTCTGTCTGTGTCTGTACGTATGTATGTGTTGATGTATGTATGTATGTATTACATACTAGTTTGTCGGTATGTTTGTCTGTCTGTCTGGCTGTATGTCTGTCCATATGTCTGCCTGTCTGTATGTAGGTGTGTATGTACGTACGTATCTTGATTAATTACATATATGTATGTATGACTGGCTGGCTGGTTGTCTGCCAATATATATGTCTGTATATGCCTGCATGTGTATACATATACATATATATATATATATATGTATAGATGTGTGTATGTACGCTCCGATATACCATATATATGTGTGTATGTCTGTATGTCTGTTTGTCTGACTGGCTCTGTTTGTCTGCCAATGTGTCTTTATGTCTGTATGACTGTCTGTCTGTATGTTTTGATGTCTGTGTGTGTGTCTGTACGTATCTATCTATCACCTACATGTATGTCTGTCTGGTGGGCTGTCTGGCGGTCTGTCTGTCTGTAAATATGTACGCTTGTCTGCCTGCCTGTCTGTATGTATGTTTGGTTGTTGTATGTATGTATGTATGGATGGATGGATGCATGGATGTATATATGTATGTATGTGTGTATGTAGGTATGTATGTATGTACGTGTGCGCGTGTGTCTTCAAATCCAGGAACGGCCCGAGGCCCACCTGCCAAGTCCGCTGTCCGTGCTCCGTGCCTCTCGAATGCGTCTTCACATGTCTGACGCGAACTTTCTGGTGTGTCGTTTTCGAACCTCTTCGGGCGAGCGAAGAACCACAAGTGGAAAAAACAGCGGGGGGAACACTTCCAGGGCTCTTGAGAGAAAACCAGCCTTGAAGCCCAGTAGCCCCGCCTCCACCTACCACCATCCCAGGAGGCCGAAACGAGGCAGGAGACTCCTCCACCGAGACCTCTTCGCGACGCGAAGGGGGTCTGCGGCGACGACGGCAGCGACGACACCCCCCGCACCTCCGACCCATCACCCTCGCTCCTCGATTCCTGCTCGATTCTCGCAACTCGATTCTCAATCCTCGACACTCGACCCTCGAATCCCCCGACAACCTGGAATACGTCGATCGTTTTTCCCTCGACGCTTAGGATCAGTCAGCGTCGAATCGGAAGTCAGATCGAATCGAACTGTGCGTTGGATCGGGCCGCATTGGCACAGAATTGGAATCGAATTGGGTCGGCTGTGCGAGGATGCCCAGCAACGCCATGCAAGCAGCTGGCCGCATCGAATCGTCGCAGTAGCCGAACCGAATCGGAGCGGATCGGGCTGGCCAGAACCGATGTCGCATCGGATCGCCTCGTCCCTCGGACCTCGACTGCCGACCCTCGATCTTCGACCGTCGACTCTCGATCTTCGCTCGTCGACCCTCGCTCCTCAACCTTCGCTCCTCGACCCTCGCTCCTCGACCCTCGATCCTCGACCCCTCGACCCTCGGTCGAGGATCCAGCGTGTCGAGGAGTCAAGGGGGTCGGGGGCCGATGGGTCCTCGACTCCTCGCTCCTGCCGCCGCGGGGGGGGCTTCCCGACTCGACCTGTTCACCAGGGCTGGCTTTTCGTCCCGATTCGTTCTTGGGCGCTCCCATAAGACGAAGCCAGCACGAGGATGAAGTCGGGTGAGGATGAATCGAGAACCTCTGAGATCCGGCGGCTCTGCAAAATGTCTCGGGCGCCGCGGTCTTCTCATAGCGTTCCGGAACGTTCCGAGAGCGTTCCGGAACGCTCTGGAGAACAATATTCTTGTCCTATTCCCGTCCGTACTGGACCCGTTCTCCCCAGGGCTAGCTTTTCATCCTGGTTCGTGGACGCTCCCGGGGCCCGGCGAGGGCTCCCCCCCCCGGCCGACGCCATCCCTTGGAGGTCCGCCGATCGCGGGAGAGGGCCCTGCTGCCGCTAGGTCAGGCATGTCCTCCTACAGGGGATGCTGGACGGAACAGAAAAAATAAATCACGAATTGTTAACATATTCAAAATCGTCCCCAGACTATTTCTGACTAGTTTTGAATCTTTCTCCTGTAGAGGGACCTGCCCGACTTCAGGCTGCGGCCGGGGGGTGGGGCGCCTCCGCCATCCGCGCTCTGGCGCGCGCCCGCGCGGCTCCTCGCGCGGGGCGCGGGTGCGAGCGAGGAGGGCGCCGCACGAGGGGGAGGAGGAGGAGGAGGAGGAGGAAAGGGAGGAGGAGGGAGGGAGGAGGAGGAGGAGGAGGAGGAGGAGGGGCGCCAGAGCGCGTCTCTGTGGAGATATCGAGGGGCTCGTCGACGTCTTCTGCCCCTCGACGCGCGCTGGAGCTTCCCACGATCTTGATGGGCTCGGTTTCCACCACCACCACAACCACAAATAGGAGGGGGAGGGGGTCCTCCTCCTCCTCCTCCTCCTCCTCCTCCTCCTCCTCTTCGTTCTCCTCCTCCTCCTCCTCCTCCTCATCCTCCTCCACCTCCTTCCCCCCTCCAACTTATGGTGGTGGTGGAAAACAAGCCCATCAGATCTTCGATGTATCTGGAATTGCCTCGATTTACCTGGCTTTTGCAACCCCGGAAATGGACTGGAGAAGAGTCGTCGAGCCCTTCGGGAGCAAACTCTGGTACGCTTTCTTGCATAATGGATGAACGGTTGAGCAGGGACCGACCGTCCCATCATTCATTCCTATAAGCCTACCACGACATGTTCTTAGAACACAACAATTTTCTGATAAGAAAAACAATGTTCTTAGAACAAAAGCCCGCTGTGTTAAAACAAAACAGTCCCAGCCAACCAAGTTCTAAGAGCATTTCGTGGAAGCCACAAAAAAAGGTTCGTAGAACACTGTTTGGTAGGCCCGCAGGCACGCCAGGACGCTTCGCCACTGCTTGAAACGGGGGGGGCGCGGCGAGGACCGAACATAAACTCGCCGGCCCCAGGGGCCCAAGAGTGCTACAATCTCCGGCAACATTGGAACACTTCTAGTTTTAGGTCGGGCGTGTTCCCCTAAAGGCAAATTTTTGATGAAAAATGAATACCCCAAAAATGATCGAACATGCCCAGAAATGATCAAACAATGGACCCCATGCCTTGTCTTTTCTATCTGTGAATATTCCTCCTGTAGAGGGACGGGCCCGACTCAATTCTAGTTCGCGCGCGCGTGGCTGCCCCTGGGGCCCCTGGGCGAAAAGTACCCATTGCAAATCCCGGGCGGTCCCCGTCATGGATGCCAGAGCCTCTGGGGGCTGCCTTCAGGGCCTGCCAGATCGTTTCAGCAGGCCCCCGAGGCGGTCTAAGAGGGCCCAGAGTCACCGGAAGTCGTTCCAAGATGCCCAAGATAGCCTCCAGACGGCGTCTACCGCCTCCAAGACGCCCGAAGATGCCTCCAAAACCAGTCCCAAGAAGCCCCCTAGAGGCAAAATTCAAGGATCGTCCATAAGTTATTGACGGCGCTGAAGAGCCCCAAGACACCTTCAGGAAGACCCCATCGAGGGGGAGCCCCAACGGACATTTGAGCATTTCGAGCGTTCGGGCCCAAGAGTCGTCCAGGCTGCCCCAAGCGGCACCCAAGAGGCCCCCAAGAGGCGCCAAGAGGCCCCCAAGAGGCGCCAAGAGAGCCCCAAGAGGCATCCAAGGCGCCCCCAGGAGGCCCCCAAGAGCCTCCAAAACTGCTACACAGGAGCCCCCCGAAAACTTCCGAAGAAACACCAAGACGCGTACATGAGGACTCTCAACCACAGCCCCAGCAGCGCCGACCAGCGGCGCCGCACGGCCCACGAACGCGCACGCAAACTCCAACGATGGCACAATACGGGCCGCTTGACTGAGCAAAGCGATGAATATCTGGACTTCACGCAAGCCGGAACTCACCAGGCGCTGCTTGAAAAGGCGGCGGAAGGGGGGGGACGTGGGGGGCGGGAATGCCATGCAAGCAAACTTGCTGGAGTACACAGAAAAGCAGCCTCCGAGCGGGGAGCCAGTGGCGCTTCAGGCGCTCTCGCGCAACCCAGACCTCTGGCGATGTGTTTTCGTGCGCTCCTGGTGTGCTCCTTGACTTCGGCCCTCGGGCCCCGAAAAGGGATCCGGGGCGAGCAGTCAGGCCAGGGTGAGCGGTCCGGACCTCTGGGGCCGCGGGTTGGGAAAACCCGATCGGCACATCAAGGCCCGCGCCCGCGCTCGCGCCAGCGCCCGCGACCCCCCGCCACGACCGCGCCGAGGCCACAATGTGGCCTCGGCCCATGTGACACGGCCAAGACCTCTGGAAGCTACCGGATCCGGCCGGGCCCGTGGACGTCCAGCCTCCAGCATGGAGGGAGAGGAACGGATAAGAAAAAGGGTATGTAATCGTATCGAGCTCTGGCGGCATTGAGTCCGAGTGTCCTCGTGAGAAGCCTGGCCACTCTTGGTGCCTTACACTATTTCCCCAATCAGTGCTTGCACTGAAGGGGTCCTAGCGGAAGTTGAAAGAATTGGCGATCTCCTCAGCGAAAACCATTCACTGATAGAGTGTAACACGCATCTGCTTGCTGCGACGCCCCGAGGGCCTACCGTGCCTACCAAGGAACTTCGCAGTCCTGCCGTGCTGGCGGGGGCTCTGCTCGAGCGGTCTCTGGCACCCAGCTTCGCCGACTGACCTGTGCGGCCATCCCGCACCCGCACGACGCTACAAGTCTGGTCACAATTGGCGTGTCAAGGCTGAAGTCGCGCCGCGGGAAGCTTGCCCCCGCCTTCCGAAGTCGAACCAGCGCACCGAGGTGCGAGGACAGGGAGGCATCCAGCAAAGAGTACAGCCCATCCATCCAACTTTGACGGGGCCGCTCAACGGAGAGTACCCAAGGGACCTCTGTGGTCGCGGATTCAGAACAGCATGGTTTCTTGAGAATTCACCTGCAAATCCCCCCCACAAATCACTTGCATTGCGTTCCCCCCCATCCGCCACCTTTACAAACAACACGGAACCGACAAAACGTGGAAATACGTCTTCACTTGCGTGAAGTCTGGGTTACCTTTCGGGCCTCGCCTCCCCTCAATGCAAGTAAACTTGCTGGGGTCTGAGGCCTCGGACCGAGTATTCTGCCCTCCTCGCCAGCATGATGGAAACAGGTGACCAGAGAAACTGGGGGTCTTCCCCAGGAACAGAAATTCATCCCGAGCCGTCTTCTTTTCGTCGCGTCGCATCGCCGAAAAATGTCGTCCCGTCGGGGGCCCGCAAACAGAAATCCAACCTCACTATGTGGATACCCATCGGTCAGAAGTAGTAGGTAGAAACATAAAGTAGGAAGGCGATAAAGTAACTAGACTGGGTTCGGGCACGCCCAGAATACAATAAAACGCAGCAACAGCATATCGGTTCTTGAAGTAGGAAGGCATAGATTCGGCTTTGGGAATCGATGGGCATGTCTACGCGTACGTCCGATGGGCACGACCGACGGGTACGACCGATGGGCACCTCTACGTCTACGACCGATGGGTACGACCGATGGGCACGTCTACGTCTCACAATGCCCCCTGTTCCCTGGGCCTGGAGGGTCCTGTCGCGAGGGTCGGAGCGCCCAAGCCAGCCCAAGATGGCCCTTCCAGCCCAAGATGGCCCCTTCCAGCCCAAGATGCTACACGTCCCTTGTCAAGACAACTCGCGCGAATGCATTGGATGGGCTGGCGAATTTGCGCGAAGCATCAATGACCCCCCTGGCGGTACCGCTAGCACAGAGCACCGCATGTCACATAAGCTCTTTGGGCAGCGGATCGCAACGAAACCGCTGGCACAGAAACCGATACCATGAAATGATCGAAAGTGGCGACGCGAGGGCCGCCAGATTCCGAGTCGCCAAGCGAAAATTGGCGCAGAGGACACATACGAGGAAACCATGGAAAGCCCGTAGGCTCAATATGAAGCCCAAGCAACTGTTGAGTAATCGCAAGGGGGCGCACCATTATGTGAAGATGCAAGCGCGAATGAAAGCAGACACTGTCTATTGCCAGCCCAGTGCAGACGTTGACTTCACCAGGAAGTCCTATTCGTTCGCAGACGAGATTCCGACGACCCCCCCGCGACATACAAGTACTCGCTCTTGCCCCAGTGGTCACGGTGGCGGCCCATCACGCACAATAATATTACAGGAAAATCCGAGAAACCCTGCATGAACGACGATTTAAATACGGGTCTTTTGCGCGAATTGACGCAGCGACCTTATACGGTGGCTTACGTGGGTCGCTCGCGCGGCACGTCACTTTTGAAGCGAGGGTGCTTACGCGGTACCTTACGCGGGCAACTTACGCGCCAATGTCGGCGCAGACGAGTCCGCTTTTTGGCTCGCTCAAATGGGCGCCAACAAAGAACCAATGGAATCCCACAGGAAATACAAATGAGCACCCAAGGAACCTTCTGAGGAATCTCAAAGGAATCTTGACGGAGCCATGGGGGGTCCAAGGACATCCCAAGGGAATTCCGAAAGAATCTCCCAAGTGCGGATACGTATAGAAGCGTGGTTGAGGAGCGCTCTCACAGTTGTTGAGAATGTGCCCTGCATCCAAAGCTGACGTGAATCCGCCGACCCCTCGGCGTGTGGGAGAGGCTGCCCTCGTGGTCGTCGTCGTCGTCGTCGTCGTCGCCGTCGCCGTCGTCCACGTCGTCGCCAGTCCCAAGGAAATATATCAACACAAGGATGAGAAACGTCGTATTCAAGTCGATTCCCTTCTCTTTTTCCCCTGCTTGACGTGGTGGGGCGGGGGGTGGATAGGGGGTGGGTGTGTGGGTGGGGGGGGTCCGAGTCCCCCCCCCCGGGGTTCCCGGCGAGTCCCATGGCGGGTCCCGGGGTGGTCGCCAACGGGGGTCCTGGGGGAGGTCCCCCATTCAGGGTCGGCGGCAACGTCCGCAAGGCCTTCGCAATCTCCTTCCGCCCATCTTGGGCAGGATCCCCAGCTCTGAACGCCCGTTGTCGGAATCTTTCGCGGCCCTCTGCGGGGGATATCGCTTCTGCCCTGGCCCCCGTGCCCGAAACGTTTGAGCGGGCCCAAGAACACACAAACAAATACACACAAATCCTAAGATTCCCCTATATTTTCCCATACTTTGAATGTTTTCGTCTTCCCCCCACTTCCCAT